AAGCTGTCAGTAGCTTCTCCTTCTTCCAGCCAGCTTATATACCCTGGGTCGTCCGCCCTCCGTCGCTCCACCGCTCCTTCTCCCCTCCTTATCCCCTTGCTTGCCCATTCTCCCCCTCTCTCCTGCGGCACAAGCTGCCTTCTCCCCTCCTTCTCCTTTCCTGCCTTACTCCGCCAGCTTCTCCCGCTCCTTCTCTACCTAGCTTCTCCCCCTCGCTCCACCACCTTCTCTGCTCTCTCCCTCCTCGCTTCTCGCACCAGCTTCTCCTCCTCTTCCCACCAGCGATTCTCCCACCTCCTGCCCCTTCTCGCAACACCTTCTCTTTCTCCGCTCTCCTTTTCCACCCAGAGCTTCTCCCCTCTTCCTTCTCCACCACTTCTTCCTTCTCCCTTGCGCTCCTTCTCGCACCAGCTTCTCCCCTTCCCTTTCCCTACATCACCTCTCCCTTCTCCCACTTCCTCCTTCTCAACGCAGTTTCTCCCCCTCTCTTCTCTACCAGCTTCTCCCCCTCCTCGCTTCTCCACCAGCTTCTGCCCCTCCTCCTTCTCCACCACCTCTCGGCCTTCTCCCCATTCGCTCCTTCTCCACGCCAGCTTCTTCGCCCTCCTCCACCACCTTCTCTTTTTCTCTCCTCCTTCTCCACCTGATATCCGGGCTTCTCCCCTCTTTATCCCCCTTCTCCCTTCTCCCCCTCCGTGCCTCCACCAGCTCCCTTCTCCCCCACTTTCGCTCCTTCCTCCTTCTCCACCAGCTTCTCCCCCTCTCCACCGACCTTCTCCTTTTCTCCCCCTCCTCTACCACCTTCTCCGCTTCTCCCCTCCTGCCCCACTTCTCCCTTCTCTTCCTCCTCCTTCTCTCACAAGCTTCTCGCGCGCGACCTCCTTCTCCGCCACCTTCTCCCTCTCCCCTTCTCCAACCAGCTTCTCCCCTCCTCCTTCTCCACCACTTCTGCCTTCTCCCGGCCTCCTCTCCACCAGCTCCCTTCCCGCCTCCTTGATCCCTTTGCCGTCCTTTTGCATCAGCTCTTCACAGTTGCTGCCTTCTCCTGCCACGCCACCTCTCCCCTCCTCCTTTCTCCCACCAGCTTCTCCGCCGGGTCGCCTCCTTTCTTCCGCGCACCATTCTCGCTTCTCCCAATCCTCCTTCTCCACAGCAGTTTCTCCCCCTCCTCCTTCTGCGGCACATCAGCTTCTCCTTTTCTCCCTCCTCTTCACCAGCTCCCTTCCTCTTCCTTCTCCCTTTCCCTCCTTTTCAGTCAGCTTCTTTACGCAGCTTCTCCTTTCCTCCAGCCGACCTTTTCTCTCCCGCCTCACTCCTTTCTGCCCACGCAGCTTTCTCACCGCTGCCTTCTGCACGCACCTCTCTTCGCTGCACCTCCTCCTTCTCCACGCAGCTTCTCTGCCCTCCTCCTTCTCCAGCCAGCTTCTTCGGCCGGCCTTCCTCCTTCTCCAACACCTTCTCCAGGCGCAGCTTCTCCGCTCCTCCTGTCTCCACGCACCTTCTTCTTCCTCCCCTTCCTCTTCTCCACACTAGCGTTCTGCCCTTCCTCCTTCTCCACCGAGCTTCCTCCTTCCTCCATTCTCCACCACCAGTTCACCGCTTCTCCAACCCATTTCGCTCTTCTCCACGAGGCTTCTGCCCCCTCCTCCTTCTGCCACAGTTCTCGCTAATTCTCCCCTTCCTCATTCCTAGCATATTTGAGTCGGCCATACGGCCGCGCCGTGCCGCGTGAGATAGCGCCATATTGAAGTCTTA